GCTCCTAAAAGCCCCTGGGATTTCCTGAGATAAGAGCAATAATGGTGAACGGTGTGCCTTTGATGATTCATAAGAAGCCTCCTTCAACCACACCTGAGTTTACGCTAACAAAGCGACTTCTGGAAAGCCCTAAGGATGGAGGCCGGTTGCCGGGGGAACCAGCCACTGTTTAGGGGGTTGGAACTTTCAGCCTAACCCCCAAGCCTCCGGGGAGGTTGAGGTGACCACCCATGGCCAACAATTCAATCAGTCAGGCCTATGTAATGAAGTCTCCATAAAACAGCCAACTGAAGGGGCTGAGAGATACACAGCAAGGTTGGTGAACATGCCCCGCCCCCCACCCCTGGCTCTCCGCATCTCTTCCACCTGGTTGTTCCTGAGCTGCATCCTTTTATAATGAACTGGTAATCTAGTGAGTAAACTGGTTTTCTCAGATCTGTGAACTGTTCTAGCAAGTAACCAAACCTGAGGAGGGGGCTCCCCCACCGTTACCCAGTCTTGCCTCGAGGTGACATCCTTTGTCTTGCCTCGAGGTGACACGCTGAGCCACCAGAGGCTGACCCTCCTTGCCTATCTCATGGAATTCTACAAGGATCACACAAGAGGGGCCGGGGTAGGGACAGAATCAAGAGCTTCTCAAGTGGAGAGCATTCTTCTTTATACCTTTCGCTGTAAACCCACACCTTCGTTACTGTCACACAAGCAAGGAACCCAAGATCATAAAGTCATCAAGAACTAACACACTTCTTGAACATGTATCCGGATTCTTTCAGCATATTTACAGTTGCCCTGAGCCTTTGGCTTCCACACCCCTTTGTTTCCTGTCCAAAACCTGTCAGATTAATTAGACTCCTGATGAGATTATTCTGACTCGTACATCCTCCCACTTCTCATCCCATCTCTGACTAACATGTGACCTTTTCTGATGGAACTATTGAAATTTAGTAATGGTTTTATTGCCAACATTTGCCAGTTGTGCAGTGGCATTTATCAAGCTCTCGTTAGCCTGGGCAAGGATCACTTCCGGCATTGATTGAAGCCCCACAAACTAATTTTTCTTAACTTGCATCAGCTCAGCTCCAACTGTTCTGGCTAATAAGCTACTAATGAGTCTGCCATGGAGTTTGTCACACAAAAAAATCGACCGAGTTAGTGGGGTTTTAGCAAAGTTAAAAGATACCGAACTTCCAGAGAAGGGTGTCATTCCTCAAGAGCACTGTTCTGTGTGATGCCGCCCCATGGGAGGGGTGGGGTGGCAGGAAGTTGCTTTACCCCTGGGGGTCCATGTTCCCCTTCCTTTAACCCCAGCTACCTGCTATGTCTACACCTAAGATGACTTCTGATCATTCCAGAGCCCAGAAAAGAAAGGCATTTAGGTCAACATGAAATAGTCAGGAAGTTGACTCACTCCTCAGGGAAATCTCAAGTGATCTCTTTGCTCAAGTAGCTTCAGAGAGTTTGAGACGAGTCCTGCCTTTAGAAGTCATAAGACCTGCGTTTGTCCGAACTGTTGGTCAAAGCACTTGACTTCTGAAGCTTGGGTCCAATTACATCTTCAGTAACACGAGGATAACAAAACCTTACCTGCTCCCAAGAACAAACAGGGTCAGATAAATTCTGCCCAGGCTCTCCTCCAAGAGTGAGAGGTGAGGGCCCCACAGATGGAGTAGGTGATGCTACATGAAATAGATATCAAGGTGGTGGTGTTTTTAACCCCACTGCAGGAGAGGAAGCTAAGACTGGGCTCTGTCTTTCCAAAGTCACACAGCCACCCAGGGCAAGAGGTGGCCCTTGAGCTTGGGTCCGTCTGGCTTCCCAGGCTGCACACTTAATCTTTCTCCCACACTAACTCCCAGGGCACGTTTGAGTGGCAAGGGTGACTCTTCCCCTTCTTTCGCTCGTCACTTCTGTCCCCATCCAACTAAGGAAGAAAAAAGCCCCTCTGGTTGACGTTTCAGAAGAAGGGCCTCTGTACAACTTAGCACGTGTCTTGTGTGACTGAGGGCTGCGGGCAGACCTTACCACCTGTGCTTTGCCGCAAGCGTCAGCAGGTGGCTACGGGGCTACTTGGAAACAGCATTGCTTGGAAAGGATTGGCTTATATAATTTTTAGGTGATTAGTGGAAACATATTATCCATCAAAGTATTTACGTTAAGGGTTTACTTGGTAGAAATGGGCACAGTTTCTTCCTGGGGAATCCTGAAACCAAGTCACCCACGTGATGCTCACTGTCAAGTCGTCACGCTCTTTCCTCCCAGAGCCGCTGCCCTAGTTCAGGCGCTCGTCACCGCTCACGAGTTCCTGGCAGGGCTCTCCCAGCGGGCCTCGCAGCTTCCTGTGTTCCCATCCTCCAATGTTAAGCTTGACATTCATCTTCAAAGCACAGCTATGATCACACCCCAAAGCCTGCGCCTCGGCCATTAATGTCACCTCCACTGCAGCCATCATTCTGAAAAATGGTCTCCAAAAAAAGCTGCTGTCTTTCCAGACTCACCTATTACCGCTCCCCAACACACCAGCCACGGGGCACCATGAATACCCTTGGCTTTTCTCATGTTCTTCCCACCACCAAGAATATCCCCCACCCACACCCATAATCTTTGCCTTTCAAAATTCTTCCCAGATGTTGGGGCCTTGCAAAAACACCCTCGGTGATGAAGCTTTTGATATCTTCTTATTCTGATATGGCATTTCCTTCTCTGAGCCCCTGTATCACTTTGTTTGCAGCTTCATGACCTTGAGAAAGCCACCTAGCCGTAAACCGAGAACAATACCCACCTAGCATGGTGGTTGAGAGGATTAAATGAGATTGAAGATGACTTTGAGTAGTGCCTGGCATGTAGGATGTACTCAATATATGGTAGCTTTTCTGGTAGCTATTTTTTGTCACTAATAACACACACACACACACACACACACACACACACACACACACACACACACACACACACACACTGTAAGCCCTTGAAGACGGGTGCCAACCCTGTTCATCTTTGTATCCCTTGCAGAACCTGTCACTCAGAGACACCAATTCTTAACACCCAGAGATGGAGAAGCTTCAAGGAAAGGAGTAACGTGCCCGCCTCGCCTGTACACCCAGTCTTTGTAAATGTATTTCTTTTTCCTTCCTGAGTGGTTTGGTGGTGATGGAATGGGTGTTGCCTTTCCTAACAAGGACACCCACACACCCCCAACTTTCATCGGAATTGCTCCGTTTTTCCAGCCTTTTTAAAACCTAGCGCTGTTTCATATTGATGACTGAACGACGTTGCTTCTAGTCTCTCCTTCTGCGTGGGGCTCACGGAGGACAGCGGAGCGGCTCGGTCAGATCTGTTTTGGGATCCACAAGCCCGTGACCGGAACCTGGTACAAAACTGTGTTCCAGAAAATGCTTTCTGAATACGGCTGAGCCAGATTCTCACTCGCATTTCTTAGCAAGACCACTAAGGAAGGGGAAGCCATGGATGAGTCGGAGGCTCTGCTGAGCCTCGGCTGTCCTCTCTCATGTCCATCGTGTCAACTTGATTACCCTCAGGCCAGCTTTCCTGGGCTTCCTTCTGCACAGGCCAGTGGGGCAAAGGCTCTCGGATATTCTAAGGATGTCAGGCCTATAGTACAATTTGTGGTTAAGGCTTGACAGATCACACGTGGAAGCAGCCCTGTTACTTTGCTGGTCACAAAGTTCTGCTCTCCTGGTCAGGACGTCGGAAGCTGATGCTCAGGGAGAACACTAACCAATCCATCAAAGGTCTTTGCTTGAGGGAAACTCAGTCATAATGAATGTATTGGTTAAACGTGCTTTTTTTTCAAGTGCAGGATCAAGAAAGGGAGGAAAAA